CTTTCTATAGCAGGTTATTTCCAGATCCTGATTTCCCCTTGTAAAAAATCCTCTTGCAATTCTTTTTTGCTTGCCAGCTCAGTAAGACTGCTTACAGGATATATCTATCCCTTAGCTCACTAGATAGCTCAGAGGACAGAGGATCCAGTGGTTGAAACTGTCTCTCTGGAGTTTGAGTGGCAGTCTTCTTTCTTTCCTCCAGTATTTGGCATGTACAGGTAACATTTTGGGATCTCTCATCTGTGAAAGGCTCTCTACAGCAACATATTTTTACATAAGTACGCACAAAACTGACAAGAGAGGAAGAAGGCCGTCAAATGTATTATTTTAGGACTCCTTTTTGCATCATTCAGCTTGGGGTAGGGAACCTTTTTAACAGCTGTGGCCCGCTGTCCCACAGAAAAATCAGTCAAGGGCTACACACAAGTAAGAAGCAAAAAAATAAAATCCCAACCCCTCACTGATGTGGCCCCCGACTGAGAAGGAGAGGTATTCCCCTCACACACCAGAGCCTAGAGGAGCCCAGGCTAGTAGATTTGCATGCTCCAGCCCTGTGGTGGGTGGCAGAGGGACTGGAGCATCATCATGGATTCCCCAGTGCTGCAGGGAGCCCTGAGCCTCAGGGGCTGGATCCAGGCAAGCTGAGGGCCACATCCGGCCCATGGGCCTGAGGTTCCCCGTACCCCTGATGTAGGGGGTTAGCATCCAGGGACTTTGGTGAGGGCCCACTAGATCAGTGGTTTTCAAACTTTTTTCAGGCAACCCAACTGAAGAAAATTGTTGATGCCTGTGACTCAACAGAGCTGGGGATGAAGGGTTTGGCGTGTGGGAACTAGGAAGGAGTGGAGGCAGAGGGTTAGAGTTACAGGGGTGAAGGCTGGGAATGAGGGGCTTAGAGTGTGGAAGGGGGGTCTGGGCTGGGGGATGGGATTGAGGGGAGGGAGGAATCATAGCTCTGAGCTGGAGGTTCAGGCTCTGGGGTGGGGTCAGGGATGAAGGGCTTGGGGTGCCGGAGGAGGGCTCTGAGCTTGGGGGTCTCAGAGCTGGGGCAGGAGCTCGGGGTATGGGCTTACCTCCAGCGGCTCCCAGTCAGTGGCATAGTAGGGAGACTAATGTAGACCTTCCTGCCTCTTCTGGCATCACACACCACACTGTACCCCTGAAGTGGCCAGCAGCATGTCTGACTCCTAGGGGGAGGCAGGCAAGCAAGTCCATGCAGCTCCTACCCACAGGCATCACTACCCAGCTCCCACTGACCAGTTCTTGTCCAATTGAAGTGTGAATCTGGTGATTGGGCTGGGGGCAGCATGCAGAGCCCCGTGAATTCCCTGCCTAGGAGCTGGATCTACTACTGGTCACTTCCAGGGTGCAGCGCCGTGTCCAAACATATTAGGACTAGCCCAGTGGTTTTCAAAGACTGGGTCATGACCCAACCTTAGCCAGGCAGCACTGCTGATGGGACTTCTAATGGCCTGTTCAGCAGTGCTGAGCAGAGCCACTAGGAGGTTGAGCACATTCCTCAACCCACTACTGGATCACAATTGGCATTTTGAAAACCACTACACTAGGTGTTCAAAGACAGATTCTAAATTTTTTTAAATTGTCTGTCTGTATAGTGCCTACTAGAATAGGGTCCTGGTCCATGACTAACACTCCCAGACACTACAGCAACATAAATAATACTAGGGAGCAGTGCCCCCTACTCACTACTCTTACAAACCCCACTGTCTCTGGCAGTAAGCAGCCCCAGCCTCTTGCTCCCTCTCAGCTGCCAGACAGGGCTGAAGCCACGCCAGACCCAGCCTCTTGGCCCCCTGCCTCTCTGGCCACTGGGGCCATCCCAGTCTCTGGGTGTCAGTAAGACCGGCTCTCCCCAGAGCCGCCAGGAAGCACTGGGGCCATGCCAGACCTACCCCCTGCATACCCCCAGCCACTGGGGAGGGCCGTGGGCCATTCCAGAACCAACCACAAGGGAGGATCGTGGGCCACGCCAGACCCGGCTGCTGGGGAGAGGAGATGGTCAGCTCTCCCCCCAGCCACCAGGGAGGGCCAAGGCCATGCCAGACCTGGCTTCTCGGCACCTTCCACCTCCCTCCCTGGTCACAGCCATCCCCAGCCTTCCCCCACCACCCTGACTGCAGCCAGTCCCGGCCTCCGCACCCTTCTCCCCAGTCGCAGCCAGCCCCAGCCTCCCTAGTTGCAACCAGCCCTGGTCTCTCAGCCCCCCTCTGGCTGCCAAAAGAGGGCCAAGGCCAGGCCAGGGGGCAGCGGGGGCAAGGGCGGCAGTGGCTCCTTGCTGCACTCGGCTCCCCAACATTCTGGGACCCAGCAGGTAACTGCCATCTCCAGCTGCTTTGGGCCAGGGCTGGGAGTGCTCAGGCTGCAGACAGTCCAGTGCTCCAGCCTCAACTCTCCCGCCTGCAAGATTAGTGCGCCAGCACCAGCTTCCTGCAGTGGAGGGAGGAAGAGGAGAAAGCCCCAAGACTCTGCAACAGGGGAGCGAAAACCGGACCTAGCATGGCATCTTGGGGCTTTCACCTCTTCTCCCTGTCCTACAGGAAGCCGGTGATGGTGCGCTAGTCTTGTGGGGGACAGGGACGTTGAGGCTGAAGCACCGGGCAGGCTCTTGGCCCTGGCCCAAGGCAGCCGGAGGTAGCGGTTCCCACTGGGTCCCAGAGAGTCGGGGCTCCAAGAACAGCAAAGAGCCACTGCTGCCCTCACTCCCGCCACCCTCCTGCAGGGAAGTAGAATCTGCTCAGGCTGGGCTGCAAGGCAGTTTTGCCATCTCCGAACACTGTCTGGGGCAGGGAGGCCACGCAAGGGCGGAGTCTGTTGGACGCCAGAGTGACATGATGATGTCACTCTGGCATCCCATAGGAAAAACTTGTAGATAGATAGATAGATAGATAGATAGATAGATAGTAATAGTCTGTCTCAGGCAGATTTTGTTTACAATTTTTGTGCAAGTCTTTGTTTAAAGATTTATTTTTCACACATAGTACGCTGTCAAGCTGCTTAAAATAAAATATATTACTCAGAACTGCTGTGTAAAATAAAATGTCTTCTAATAAAACCCTCTTTGGTCAGTACTGTTAAGTGAGAGACACCTCATATCTAAATTGAACACAACATATTTCACCATCTGTAGTATACTGCATCATACATTGCTTAGTTATGTGCACCTCAAGAACCCTACAGCTTGCTTGTAAATAATACAGGCTTATTTAACGTCTTAATAATCTCATGCTAGAAATAAAAATCACCTTTCCATTATTCGTTTCCAAAGAAAAAGTTTAAAAAAAGCTTTATAAACGGGCTTGCAGATAACCTACTGTAACCTATATGATAAATTTGTGACTATTTGACTAAATGAAGGTTTGATTTTCCGAAAAAACCTTTGCTAGATTTTTTATTATTAAATATAGAATATTAAGTCCCAAAATGTACATCAACTGAATTAAACATTTAAACCTTGTGCTACTGAACTCCTCCAGAGTCCAGATCCTTTGGAATAGGATCAACTGAAAGGACTATTGAATGCCCTCTGCAGACACTGTGGCGCACATACAAGTGATCTATTGCTGAAAATGAAAAAAAAAATCCTTTTATAGGCCACTCAAGAGTTTTCAAGATAACAATACATTAAATCCTTAACTATGTGTGTATATATTATATGTATGTATGTCACACCACTATAAAATATGTATTTGAATAAGGATATTAATTATTTTACACAATATGACTGTTAAGCATATTATAGTATGAAAATAAGAAATGCAATACTATCAATCTCATACCAACTGTTTTGTAGAAATAGTTCAGTTTAATTAATGGAAACCACCTGTATAAATGCTATTAGCTGATTCATACTTAAAAAACCCCCGGCTTAAACAGAACTGTAAACTAAGTCTCACAAATTTCCTTTTGAGTTAAAAGGGGTTACCACAAACACTAAAAGCAGGCATTGTTTTTCTGTTATCAGGTTACAAGTAGTTCAAGTCTCTAAGCACCAGAATCCCCCATACAGCTGATCAGTTACAGCTGTTAATTGTGGAGCAAGGGACTGCTGACATCTGCTTCTTGCTTAGTTAGTTAATGGTTCACTTCCAGGTCCTGAAAGGATTGCAGCTCCTCTCAAAAGACAATGTTGGACCCCATCTATGTCTACCTTCTACACTGCCTGTCTTGTTCTGGTTTGTCACTCTCCATACAAAGCAAATCTGAGTGAACTCACATCTGCCGCTGATCGACCCAATTCGTGAGCAATCTTTTCCCATCGACCTGGGGTCCCCCCTGGGAACTTAACCATACTTCTTGTCAGCTGGCTAAGGTCCTCTTCTGTCCATTCAGGTGCCTGCAAAACATGTGTAAATGTTTGGGAAATTAGAAAAAAAAGTAGTCAAATAAAATATTGAACACTTAAATTAATCAAATAATGGATGCTGTAACAAATAAAGTAATTTAATACTGCTTTAAAAACTTGTTAGTTGAATGCTCTGTTTCTTCTGCTGTTACAGAAAACAGGACATAAACAACTTCCAGTGATTGAACTTGAACCTTTAAAATTATTTAATACGCAAAATGCATGTTAGTGCAGTAGATACATTTAACTTATGACACTATGAAAAAAGCGAGCAGTAAAAATTAAAATAAACCACAATCTAAGATATCAACATTATAGATAATATATAAAATCCTCTTACATATACTTGAATTATCCATAAAGAAGGAGAAATATTTTAAAAGTCCTCAATTAAAAAATATTGAAAATAATCCTAAATGTTTAATTATCAATCTGTATCTTAAAAACACTATGCCCAATTCAGTTAGTTGTTAAAGCCACTATAATATATGTATAGTTTAACATTTCGAGATCATACAGCCGTGAAATCTGACAATTTTGTATTCCACTATGAATTTTTCTAAAGCAAATACATTTTTCTATTGCCCGTGGCTTCAGTGACCACGCACATGAAGAAAACAGAAAGAAACTGGACATTTTCAAAGAGCAACAAGGCCCAATAACTAAAATATAAAACAATGTTCTACTGCATCAGCACACTGCAAATGATAAACAATTTCCTCCTTTATGACAACCAAATAAGCAAGAAAACACCGGTTCCTCAGATATAATAGCAATATTAACTATTACATCTTTTTATGTTAAATTGCCTCTCCAAGAACACAAGGCTTTGTACTCAGTCTTCCATATGAGTAAAACTAGTGACTATTGAACTAAGCATTTGTAAAAAGGAGTTAAGCATTTTATTTTTAAAATAATCCTTTATGACAAATACTTCTTCTAATCACCATTTCTGATAATGAACAGAAATATATCAAGCAGTTTGCATTACAGAGCCATCAGCACAGAACAACAGTCAGAGGTGAGTGACCCCAGGGACCATCTCCACAGCTACAGCAAAGCTTCTCCCTGACACTAATCCTGCCTGTCATTCTCCCACTGTGCTCTAACCACACTGACATCCGCCTGCCGCACTGCAAGCTTAAAGGGCCCTTCCTGACTTTTTACTGTCTCCCCCAATCAATGGTTCAAGCGTGCTCTTTTCACCATGTCCAAATGGCAGCTTCACTCATAATCAAAGTGCACTGCCCCTGTTAAAGGGCTTCCCGAAAGGCTCTACCATTTGCATTCATTTGCAAAGCAAACTACTTTTATTCACTTTGTTCTGCTATCAAGAATGTTCCCTGAAGCAGATAAATTGGCATAAATACAACCTGCCACTTAAGAGACAGTAAATAATAGCCAATAGTGGGGAGGATTTTATCAATTGTTCTATTTTGTAGCCACATAATTCTTTGTTCATCAAATACTAAAAGCCTCAAATATTCATATTTATATAGTTTTTAATACAAGCACAGATTAATTGTCTATCATAGTTTATATTTAACATGTGTGAGAGATATAGCACATACATTAAATATATAGTAAAGGTGTTTACGGAGAAAATGCTAAATACAAAAAACATGTCATACAACACTGCAACCTTATATTTTATTTGTTGTACAAAATACAAACTTATTTGTTCTAAATTAAAACTTCTTTATTACTATATTTGCATAACTTTGGGGTCCATAGATATGACGTTCTTGGGTACCTTTAAATATTCTAGCTTTGAAAATATAATTCCAGTACCATTTATTTTTAAAATGAAACAGCTGAGTAGGGAATTTTAATTTTCACTAAGTTTTTCATAAGTAATATAATGCACACATTGAATGTAAGCATTTGTGAATGCAACTTTGCTTCAATAACAAATTAAAATTATGTTTTACATTGATTTCAAATGTAAATGCTTATAACATAAAGTAGCTGCATAAATAGATGTTAACACAATATTTAAAGCATATCCAAACAATTTCACACAAAAATCAAAGTAATATTTCTGCACTAACAGAAACAATTTAGAGGCAGCAAAACATCTGATAGGTTTTCATTTCTTTAAAACAATTTTCATAAGTTTCGATTCTTGGATGTGTTACATATTTAAATTCCTGTGGATAAATGTTACACAAGTAAACACAATACTCATTTTCCTTAGCTATCATCATTCCGAAATTCTAATAAAAACCTACTACCTACTGATTTTTAAAAAAGCAAACAAAACCCTAAATTCTGCATTCAGCTAAGATACCAATGTACTGAATGAAAATTTTATTTCAATAACACGATAACTTACATTAATACAATTTTAAACAATTATAACAAGGACCAAAATTCTTTGATAGACCTTTTCAGGAATCCATCATTAACCACTAGTGCTGTAAAGAGCTTTGGTGAATTTGCAATTCCTCAGCAATAGATAATTGTGTCTTTAGATGAAACAGCGCCTACTATGATCCAACTACTACAAGCAGCCAGGAGGGTGGCCATAGTGTGAATGTATTCTCCTTGTTCTGATCTGGATCCAACTGTAACCGAGAATCTCAAATGAATGCATAAGCATACTGCTTTGTCACGTTAATCATGTGTCCAATATTACTGAAACACTGGACCAAAATTAATCTTTGCAGTTAAATAATGGAAGATACCATATAGTGAGGGGACAGCTGATGTGACTGCATAAGCATTTTGCATCAGAAAAGCTCTGCTCTGGGATTAACTCGCCACACTGAATGCAAAATAAAAGGAAGCAGAGCTATAGGCCTCAGCTTTTAACATTAAATAAATTACATTTACAAATACAAAAACAATCATAGCATTTGCTCAAATTATATTCCATTAAATGGTTTATTGTACAGGTCTTGTAAGAATCAATATACGCAAACTTCTCTGCAATCTTTGAAGAGCGAGTAAAACTGCCTTATGTTATTTTCCATAACTATTACATGCTTTTATATCTTTAATTATTTCATGTAGCTCCTTGTAGCAAAAGCAAGTATATGCTATGAGGTCTCCTTTATAAAAATAATTCATTTTTTAAATAAACTAACACCACAGACTACCATTTGGTTTCAAACAAAACAATCTTTTAGATCTCTAATTTAAAATTGTGAACATTTTGAAGAGTCACACAACTGCATACAATTTTACTGATAGACTTGAGAATTATTTACATTTTAGAGTTCACATAAAAGTGCCTAAGTTTAAAAAGAATCCATTCTAATTTGATGATTATTAAGAAATTCAAAGACTGAAATTCTGTCATTGGCCTACCCCACAAGAAGTTAGGCACTGTTTCGTGCACATTTTAGCTCAGCCTCACCTTCCCTGCTATCCAATACATAAAGCCTTTGGACATACATTCTCAAAACACACCAAAAAGTTATATTAGCATGACTATGTGTCTCATGGAAGCAGGGGTGAAAGTAACCTAAATTTCTTACAGGTACTATATTATCACAACCTCCCTCCTCCACTCCCCCCGGTTGGGGTCGGGGTGTAGGAGTCAAGGCAGGGGGCTAGAGATGTGTGGGGGTGCAGTCAGAGTTGTGGTGTATGAGAGGCTCAGGGAAGGGGGTTAGGGTCTGAAGTGCAGAAGTCAGGGAACTGGGACATGGGGGGAGAATGGAGGAAGAGCCAGGTTAACTTACCTGGCTGGGACTGAGTCACTGCAGTCAATTCTACTATCTCCCTTCCTACCCATGCCATGGAAGAGTGGGTCTGGGGCCAAGCACTGCAGCCAGATGGGACTGGGAGCGTATTCACCTCCCTTACAGCGTGCACCTCCTGCCGGCCCCTTCATCTTTCCTGCCTGCCTCCTACAGAGTGGCACGCCCAGCCAGTGCTTGCCAGAGTGCAGCCGAATCTTACTGGAGCTGAACACTAGGCCGCACCTGCTTACTTTCACCTCTGTAGTGAAGTGAAAAACCCAGAGATGGATGAGCCAACCTAACTTTGGGTCAGGACATTTCTAAGTCAACAGAAGAATTCTTCCATTGACAGAGCTACTGCCTCTTGAGAAGGTGGTGTCTGTCACTGTAGTATTTATGCTGAATTGCTACACAGGTACAGGTACAGCACTGCAATTGTGCTATTGTAGTTTATTAGCTATCAACATACACTTAGCTTCAGGGAGTAGCCGAGTTAATCTGTATGGGTATGTCTACACTGCCACCCTAGTTCGAACTAGGGTGGCAGTGTAGACATACCCATACAGATTAACTCGGCTACTCCCTGAAGCTAAGTGTATGTTGATAGCTAATAAACTACAATAGCACAATTGCAGTGCTGTACCTGTACCTGTGTAGCAATTCAGCATAAATACTACAGTGACAGACACCACCTTCTCAAGAGGCAGTAGCTCTGTCAATGGAAGAATTCTTCTGTTGACTTAGAAATGTCCTGACCCAAAGTTAGGTTGGCTCATCCATCTCTGGGTTTTTCACTTCACTACAGAGGTGAAAGTAAGCAGGTGCGGCCTAGTGTTCAGCTCCAGTAAGATTCGGCTGCACTCTGGCAAGCACTGGCTGGGCGTGCCACTCTGTAGGAGGCAGGCAGGAAAGATGAAGGGGCCGGCAGGAGGTGCACGCTGTAAGGGAGGTGAATACGCTCCCAGTCCCATCTGGCTGCAGTGCTTGGCCCCAGACCCACAAAACATGCATCATGAGCTTTTCTGAAGAAGTGGGTTGTGCCCATGAAAGCCCATGATACCATCTGCATGTTTTGTTAGTCTATAAAGTGCTACCAGACCATTTGTTGTTTTTTAAACATACACTTATTCTTGCCATCTTATCTGAGGGTACAGGTACAAATTTATGTCCCGCTCTAGCGTGTGTCTGCCCGCCCATACTGAAGGATGTAGCTAAAGCATGTGTAACTGATTTAAAATGGTCTTGGATGGTCTGCCAATGCTATTCCACAGTTCCCATGGCCTGTATTTTCCAGCTCTTCTA